GAATTAGACTAATTATTAGGAAACTGTGCCTGAGTAAATTACATTGACAGATTAATTGAGATTGAAAGGCTTAGAAGATGAATAATCTAAATTAGTGAAAGATTAGAAAAAGAATGGACTCTTCTGAGAATTGAGTGCTTTATACAAATTTGTATGAACCACAAATTAAAATAATATCAACATTATCTAAATTCCCAGCCAAGTCAATATTACATCCAAGGGACGGAGGTGTCCTCAAAACGGTCTCCCTCTAAGGAATGACAGACACTTGACAATGGCTGTACACAGTCTCTGTGGGAAAGGTGGATGAGGAAAAAACTGTGTAATAGTTTCAGCCAAGTATATGTGCTGACATCTGGCTGGCTAACTGGGCATGAATTAGTTAACACTAGTCATTGAAGACAAAACAACTCATTTTTGCAGGATTGTTATATTTTTCCCATATCACATACATAAAGAAGCACTATGGAATCAAGGAGAAATAGTCTTGAAAGCACCTTGAGGAAGCTTCTCCAATACAAGCACGGGGATTACAAATTTCTATTCTATGTAAAATAATGTCATGGGGAGTAATAAGTAATACATAATAGATAAGGTGGATGATATGTCTTGACTTAAACGTTTTGGACAAGAAAGAAATTTGAAGGTCTATCTTAGACTGGCAGTGTGTTATTATTGCCTCTAAATTACCCTGTGCTATGTGGCTGAGCAACACTGGCAAATATCTGTAATTTAAGGGTTTTATTCTAATTCTGACATGATTGTTATGCCAGAGAGCTTTTTGAGTAAGAAGCCTTTTAAAACTATTTATCACATGAACTCTGGTTTTGCTTTTGGAATACATCATCTCATTAATTAAAAGATTGAAGTTTCATGTCTGTCTTTACTGGGTTATGTAAACAGCAACTCTGTCATTACTAAAGCATATGCTATTTAAATTTTTCTAAAAATGTAGACCTCTTAGCCATCATTGAAATAGAACATTACAGAAGAGAAAAAGCAATTTGGAGCATCCCATTCTTAGATATGTATTGAATAAATCTATTCTGTTATTAGTATCTGTTTCATTTTATTTTTCCTGGTTTCGGTCATAGTTCAGTAACATTCAGGAGAAAATGCTATATGGTAGCTAATGGGATATAGAAGACCCATTACTTATCCTGCCAAATTTATCAGGAAAGTAAAAGAACAAAAACCAAAAACCAAACCCTTCCCTTAGAAACACATTATAAATTCAAGTAAACAAATATAGCATAGGTTATTTATGACAGGCACACAACTTTTAGCTACTGATCATTAGCTTTACTAATCATTAGCTTAGTTAATGAAAAATAAAATATAATATTGAAAATATGAGCAACTAGTAAATCAAATAGTTTTTAGTTGAAAAACCATAAGTTCTTCTTAGTCTACTGATTCTCCCCACCAAAAAATAGTCCTAAATTTCCACAGTATTGATATAGGCCTTAATGATTTGTATGGATGAACAAGGGATTCCATGTTCAATGCAAGATGATACAGGAACTTTGAGTATTAATTGTAATCACCTATGTGAACTTTACAAGGTTCCAAAGCAATTTTTATAAGCAGAATTTCACTTTCCTTAGCCAAAATGTTTTACTAATACTGACTTTCATGTACTGATGTCATACAGTGTGAAGTAAGTCAGAAAGAGAAAAACAAACACCATATGCTAACACATATATGTGGAATCTAAAAAAAAAAAAAAAAAAAGGTTCTGATGAACCTAGGGGCAGGACAGGAATAAAGACGCAGTTGTAGAGAATGGACTTGAGGACGCAGGGAGGGGGAAGGGTAAGCTGGGATAAAGTGAGAGAGTAGCATCGACATATATAAACTACCAAATGTAAAATAGATAGCCAGAGGGAAGCAGCCGCATAGCACAGGGAGATCAGGTGCTTTGTGACCACGTAGAGGGGTGGGATAGGGAGGGTGGGAGGGAGATGCAAGAGGGAGGGGATATGGAGATATATGTATACGTATAGCTGGGTCATTTTGTTATACAGCAGAAACTAACACAACGTTGTAAAGCAATTATATTCCAATAAAGATGTTTAAAAAATAACAAATTTTTAAAGCAGTTGTAGGTTTATAACAAAATTGAGAGAAAGTCACAGAGGTTTCCCATATACTCCCTGGTCCCACACATGCACAGCCTTCCCATTCATTAACGTTACTCACCAGAATGGTACATCTTTTTAAACCAAGGATGAACCTACACTGACACATCATAATCACCCAAAGTCCACAGTTTACCTTAGGATTCACCCTTGGTACTGTACATTCTACACATTTGGACAAGTGTATAATGACATATATCCATCATTACAGCATCATACAAAATATTTTCACTGCCCTAAAAAAATCCCCTGTGCTCCACCTAGTCATCTCTCCTCCAACCCCCGACCCTCAGCAACCCTGGCAACCACTGATATTTTTACTGCTTCCATAGTTTTTCTTTTTCCAGAATGTCATATAGTTAGACTTGTGTAACTTTTTCAGATTGGCTTCTCTCACTTAGTAATATACACTGAAGTTTCCTCGTATCTTTTCATGGCTTAAAAACATTTCTTTTTTAGCACTAAATAATATTCCATTGTCTGGATATACCACAGTTTATTTATCCATTCACCTACCAAAGGTCATCTTGGTTGTTTCCAAGTTTTGACAATTATGGAAAAAGCTGCTATAATCATCTGTGTTTTTGTGTGGACATCAGTTTTCTACTCCTTTGGATAAATACCAAGGAGTGTGACTGTAGGACCATATGTTAAGGGTATGTTTAGTTTTGTAAGAAACTACCAAACTATCTTCTAAAATGGTTGTATCATTTTGCATTTCTGTTTTTTTGGATAAATTATGAAATTTATTTATATTTCACCTTTTAAAAGCCAGAACATAACAAATGTCACTTTCTGGAAAGTTGTCTTATTAGAAATACATGAAGTGCACTTAATACAAGGAACTCAGTTTCTTGGTATCACCAGTGAGACCACCATCATCAGGTCCCGCAAATGAAGGTTTTGTCAAATTTCCCTTTAAACTTAGACTGAGATGAACTTCTTCCAAAATGGTTGTACCATTTTGCATTTCTGTTTGGGGTTTCTGTTGCTCCACATTCTCATCAGCATTTGGTGTTGTCAGTGTTACAGATTTTGGCCATTCTAATAGGTGTGTAGTGGTATCTCGCTTTTTTTGTTTGTTTGTTTGTTTGTTTTGCGTTACGCGGGCCTCTCACTGCTGTGGCCTCTCCCGTTGCGGAGCACAGCCTCTGGACTGCGCAGGCTCAGCAGCCATGGCTCAAGGGCCCAGCCGCTCCGAAGCATGTGGGATCCTCCCGGGCCTGGGGCACGAACCCATGTCCCCTGCATTGGCAGGCAGACCCTCAACCACTGCACCACCAGGGAAGCCCTCTCATTGTTTTAATTCTCATTTCCCTGATGACATATCATGTGGAGCATATTTTCATATGCTTATCTGCCATCTGTGTATCTTCTTTGGTGAGGTGTCTGTTAGGTCTTTGGCCCATTTTTTAATCTGGTTATTTGTTTTCTTATTGTTGAGTTTTAAGAGTTTACTTTATATTTTGAATAACATTTCTTTATCAGGTTTGCCTTTTGCAAATATTTTCTTTCAGTCTATAGCTTGTCTTATCATTCTCTTGACAGTGTCTATTACAGAGCAGACATTTTTAATTTTAATGAAGTCTAGCTTATCAATTATTTCTTTCATGGTTTGTGCCTTCAGTGTTGTATCTAAAAAAGACATCACCATACTGACGGTTAGCTAGGCTTTCTCCTATGTTATCTTCTAGCAGTTTTATAATTTTGCATTTTGCATTTATGTCTGTGATCTACTAACTCTAACCCTAAGCCTAATCCTAAAAAATAGCAGAAAGAAAATAACCTAGTTCTGAGTCATGGGCCAACGCTGATTGTGTTACAGCATAAGCCACTTGAAGTGTTAGCCATAATAAGCCATGCAAATTCCTAATAGGACTACTAATATTAGGCAAACAAGATTATCAGGTTTTATGTCAGCTATACTCTTACTGAATCTTATGCACATAGAAAGGTGAGGAGAAAATGGACCTAAGATACCTTTTTGATGTTATTGTTTTGAACTCATTAAATCCTAAAAGTGAATATTTAAAAACCATATCTTCAATAATTAATGTTTTGTTTCTGCTTCTAAAAATTTGATGCAGTGGAGCCACAAGAAGGAGTGCTTTTATACTAAAAGGCACTAGTTTGTTGCTGTGGACATAGTATATGACTTTCAATGAGAAAAAAAATGTTAGTCTACATTGGTTAACATTAAGAGCTGGTATGTTTGCCTTACATGATGTTATAAATTCAATTTAGCTATAGAATAGTAAGAAAGAACATACAGACAGAAAAGTGAACAAAAAATTGTATACATTGCAACACTCTAAAAATATGTTATCCAACAGCAAAGAAAAATGATTGTTACCTTCTGGATAAAAGAGAAAAACTAAGTAAATATCTGAAGCCTTGAACACATAACGACCTTATTATAAATGTCAACATTTATGGACTGCTTTGAAGCCAGGGGTAAAAATGCAGGTAGTTTGAAACAGACAACCATTTAAAATATCTTAACAATTTAAACCACTGTAAATTCAAATGCATCTTTTCTTCTAAATTTTTGCTTCATGTGCTAGTGAAGGCAACATGTTTATAAACAGGCATTCATGAGTACAATACATCTTATACACTCAACATATTCACACAGAGTCTTTCACTATTCTTCTGTGAGCCTTCCTATTGTCTCTCTATTGCTATCAATTATTGGGCTGGAAGCCATTTCAGCAAACAGATGACTGATTCAAAGAATCGGTCAAAGAAAAGAAAACATATCTGTCATTAAGAGATGTCAGTTGTTAAGACCCAAAGGATATTCTCACCTTTCTATCCCATAATTTTTGTGGCATAGTCTGTGCTCAGCATTACCCTATACTACATTACCCTCTGGCCACGTTAATCTTTCGTTCCAATACATTTTCTCAGTTCAGCTGCAGTTTTTTGCAGCTGTTGAATGTTCCATTGCCATTGTCTTCTATCTGACTGAAGCTTGTTCACCTGACAGTGCAAACGCTTGAGAATTGCACCGTATCTCTTATGTTGTACCTATTAAAAGAAGAGCACATGTCAATGGGCCTTGAGAAGGAAAAATAGTAAACAGCCATAAAGGATATTTTGACTACTCTAAAGAGGAAAGGACTTGATTAAAAATTACTCACTGTAAATAATAATGATAATAAAAATAAACAGTAATTATAAGTATTCAACACATTACATGCTAGATACTGTGATGAGAGCTTTTTACATGTAATTAAATTCTCATAACACCTTATGATGTAAATATTATTATCCCCACTTTTGTATAAACTGAAGATCAAAGAGCGTAAGTAATGCACTCAAGGTTTCACAGCTAGCAAGTGATGGTGTTTGGGATTTGAACACAAGGGAAGCATCTGTGATGGAGGGCCTTCTACTTATCAAAGCAGGTTCTGGTTAAGAGAAATGGTTTCATTTCCTGTATCTAGTGGTTCACTGAAACATAGACCCATTGATCTAAAAGATCCAGGAGATCATGTAGGCCATTTCTCTGCCATTAAGTAGATCAGTATTTATGCTGAGACAGACAAGGCTACAGCAGAGGGCAGTGAGGCACAGTGGAAAGTGCATGGGCTAAGGCTGAATAATATTTCATTGTGTGTATATACCACAGTTTGTTTATCCATTCATCCATTGATGGACATTTGGGTTGTTCCTATTTTTGGCTATTGTGACTAACGCTGCTATGAATATGGATATAAATATATCTTTGAGACTCTGCTTTCAATTCTTTTAGGTATATATCCAGAAGTAGAATTGCTGGATCATACAGTAATTCTATCTTTAACTTTTTGCTCAACTGCCATGCCGTTTTCTACTCTGGCTGCACGAGTTTACATTCTCACCAGCGTGTGGGAGGGTTCCAATTCTTCACACACTGAAAGTATTTGATATTACCTGTCTTTTTGATCATAATAAAAGCCATCTTAGTGGGTGTGAAGTGGTACTTCCAGTGAGTGTGACAGTGGTATTGTAGTAAAACACCCACTTTAAAGTGAACTGATTAGTGGGGCTGGGAAAGTTACTTCTTCATGCTCATGTCTATTTAAGAGAGAGCTCTAGTCAGTCAGGAAGGTGATTCCAGGTCAATACAAAGAAGAATCAATTTGTCAAAACAATTTGTCAAAACACCAATTCACCAAATTTGTCAAAATAACCAATTTGCCAAAATAAGTTTATAGCTTAAGATGGCTGTAGGGAGACAAGACTCTGGGTTTCTGGGGCCTTAAGACTCTGTCCCCGACCTGTCTCCCCTTCTCTCTGTAACTCAGCTTTCCTTTTTACTGGGGCCCTTTTTCCTGGGACCCTCAGTACAGGTTCCCCTCTCTCTTCCCCAGCTCCTCCCTTAACTTGGGGGCTTCTTCACCTTTATTATGCCATGGCTCGTTTTGATAGTATATGAGGACTATGGACTTCTCCTTAGAATGTTTTTAAATGCATAAAATAAAACATACAGGATTACAAAAGAAACCAATTATATGGAAACACAGTTCTGCAGAGCATCAGGGGAACTAGGACAGAAACACTGTAAGCATTCCAAAATACTGGTATAAAAACAAAGTGAAAACTTGTCAAGTAACACTTCACATAAATTGCTATAAACTTTAAACATCCTTTTAAGTTTTCAGTTTTGTTAATTCTTCAAAGTCAGATAGTTCATTCAAATTGGTGAACTAGGCCTCCTGATATATTGTCAAAACAGAAAGTGACTTTAAAAGAATTATAAATAAATTAGTAAACAGAAACATCATATTAGATAATGAAACTATATTCAAAAGGAGATTTTTAATATATCAAGTATATTCAAAGGGATATATATCAACTTATATGTATATATGTAATACACATCACTGCATATAATATTTATTAATATGTAATAAATATATCCATTGATATATCCAATAGCATACATTCATAAGGAGAATATAGTCAATGAATATGCTTATATACATGTTCATAGAATATACTAATAGAAATCAAATAACTAGAATAAAATTTTGGTTACTCCATAAATCATATTAGCCTGCTTCTAAAATTATTCTTCAGCAGTGAAGCTGTGAAACTAATACACCATGGATCAGAGTAGAGACATGCAAAGCCCCCTTAGTGGGACTCTAGATCACCAGCCTCAGCTAGATATCACAGGAGGTATTAATATAAACTAAAGAAAGAATATATCAGCAGAAGGTATTATGTGAAGAATGTAGCACAAAAATAGGCAAGTGAAGGAGGCATGTGTTGGTAGTTCCCATCCAGTGACTATCTGATAAGAATAACGCTGTTACGGAGATTGGCTCCTTGAGTGTCCAGAGCCAGAGGTCAAGAACACTCCAACTCAAATGAATGACTTGATTTCCATGCTCAGTAACCAGCTTTATGATAATTTGGCTTCCAGTGTAGTTTCCTTACAGGGAGAAGCAGCACTAATGACTGACAGGTTTTCTGATTTCCTTGAGAGTTTTGTGTACTATTGTAAATTAATAAACTGGCATTTGAGTTTTATACATCAGGTTCTTGTGAACTCTACTAGCACTTCTCCATGTCTACCCAACCCTGGGATACTTAAAAGGTTAATTTTCTAAGCCCACAAGGCTAAAAGGAGGTTTTGGCCAAGAAGTGACTTCATAAAGGTGAAGGTCACATTGTGAGCCTTCTTGAAGGCCAGCCAATTGTTCAGCCTCTATTGGTATAATTCTGCCTTTGGTATGTGTCAAAATTCAAACTTGAATACCATTACACAGCTAAGGATGTAGTGGTTCTGGAGAGAATACAGCTTTTTTTGCCTCTAAGAAATGGAGGGGTTACTATTCTTATTTAGTTATTGTTACACTCAAGGCAGAAATAGGAATAATAATGAAGCAGGGGTGGTGCTCAGAAAACACAGCGGCAAAAAGAGTGGCCTCTTCATTCCCTTCACTCTAGACACACTTCACTTCTAGAATCTGTGTCCAAGTACGTTCTCATCTTAAGACTTTTGCACTTACTTTTTCCTTTGCCTGGAAAGCTATTCCTCAGATCTACATGACTAGCTCCTTCACTTCTTTACATTGTTTGTGTTTTGAAAGTTAAACCAACTCTGCATTCCTGAGATAACCTTTGCTTGGTCATGAGTTACTAACCTTTTTATACATACCAGCAGATGTCAATTTGAAAATATTCTGCATCTACGTTCATGAGGAACATTGGTCTGTAATTACTTTCCTGGTAATGTTCTTGTTCATTCTTTGTGTCAGGGTTATGCTGGCCTCCTAAAATAAGCTGGGAAGAGTTCCACCCTCCATTTTCTGAAAAAATTTGTATAGGCTGGGTATTATTTGTTCCTTAGATGTGTGATAGAATTTACCAGTGAAGCCATGTCAGTCTGAAGCTTTCCTTGTGGGGAGGGTTTTAATTATGAGTTCAATTTCATTGATTCCTACTTCACACCATTTATATAGCCTAATTTTAAATGGATCATAGGTCTAAACATAAAAGTAATTTCTTCCTGTGTTACTGATGTTATGTGCACTTTTCAAGGAATTTGTCCATTTCATCTAAGTTGTTAAATTTATTGTTGTTTATAATAGGCCTTTATCATCCTTTTAAGTCTATAGGACCTAAAGTAGTGTCCCCATGATTCTCATTTTTTTGATCAGTATTGTTATGGTTTATCAATTTTATTAGTCTTTTCAACTTTTGGCTTTGCTGATTTTCTCTGATTTTCCATTTTCTATTTCACTTATTTCTACTATTTATTATGTCATTTCTTCCTATTTGCTATTGGCTGAATTTATTCTTATTTTCTAGTCTCCTAAGATGGAAGCTTAGATAATTGCTTTTAAACCTTTTTTCTCTTCTAATATGCACATTTAAAGTTGTAAATTTTCCTCTAAATACTGCTCTAGCTATACCCTATGGTTTTTTATATGCTGTGTTTTCATTATCATTCAATTTCAAATATTTTCTAATAATTCTCATGATTTTTTTTGTGATTTCTTCTTTGACTCATGGATTATTTATAATTGTGATGCTCAATTTCAAAATGTTTATGTATTTTCTAGCTTTCTTATTGTTACTGATTTCTAATTAAATTCTGCTGTTATCAAAGAATATCAAATTCTTTGAAATTTATCATCCAGTGTACTGTCTATCTTGGTGAATGTTCCATGTGCATTTGAAAATAAAGTATAATCAACAGTTATTAGGTGGAGTATTTTATATATGGTAATTAGGTTTAGTTGGTAGATAAGTTGTTCAAATATTCTATATGCTTGCTTACTGATTTTGCATATTGTTCCATCAACTATTCAAAAAAGTTGTTAAGCTCTCCAATATGATTGTAGATTTGTGTCTTTTTCTTTTTAATTTTGTCAGTTTTTATGTATTTTGAAGCTTTATGATTAGGTAAATACACATTTAGTATTATTATTTGTTTCTGGTGAATTGCCTGGCCCTCTCCAACTTTGATGGTAGTCCATATCTTAAAATCTACTTGATATTAATACAGCCATGACCAGCTTTCTTAAGACTGATGAAGGGCCTCTCACCATTGTGGCCTCTCCCGTCGCGGAGCACAGGCTCCGGACGCACAGGCCCAGCGGCCATGGCCCACGGGCCCAGCCGCCTCGCGGCACGCGGGATCCTCCTGAACTGGGGCACGAACCCGCGTCCCCTGCATTGGCAGGTGGACTCCCAACCACTGCGCCACCAGGGAAGCCCATAGCTTATCTTTTTCTATCTTTCAACCTGTCTGTGTCTTTATATTCAAAGTGCATCTCTTGTGAAAAAGTTATGTTCACAAATTGTTTTTTCAATCCAATCTGATCAGTTTTACCTTTTAATTGGAGTGTTTAGTCCATTTACATTTGATGTAACCACTGATATGTTTGGGTTTAAGTCTACCATTTCAATATTTGTGTTCTATTAGTCTCTTTTGCCTTTTTTATTTATTTCTTTTCTGTCTACACTCAGAGTGGATCACAGACCTAAATATAGAATGCAAAACTATAGAACTCCTAGAAGATAACACA